TTTAACATTCCTAGTTTGAGAACAATTCCATTGTTAAAGCAAAATAACATTGTTGTTTGTGAAGTAATAACAATTTGTTATTTGGCATAATATCTTTACTATTTGAAAACTTGATAAAAAATACGAACAAAATGACCATCGTTCTCCAACAAAATATGCCGGTGAAACAAAATATTTTCAAAGTCAATATCCGTATACTGATATTGCAAAATGGATAACATGTGGGTATTAGTATTCATGAGTAGGTTTCCACCTTGGGCGACAAAATGAAAGAACAATTATGTACATACATGCTGGGTAGTTTTACTTAAGCTACAAACAATCTGATTAATCATTTCTCATTTCAGTCACATCTTGCTGCTACGTCGGTTTCTAGAGTCTTGTTTCCAAACTGATCTCCGTAATTTATATGACAGTCAATGTTTCTCCATGGCAATGACTAGCGAAGTGGTGTCGTCAATGTGCCAATACAATGATTATCAACTGAAGATGAGCTTACCAGGTGAAAGACAGGGAAGTTGAAATATGAATTATAAAATCACTGGTATAACGAACTGTTGCCAATGTTGATTATTGTCATTATTTAGGTGACTAAGTTCCCATGTGTATTAAATTAGTCTGATTTGTTTGTTTTCTCTACAATAAATGAAACAATACAAATACAAAATCTTAAACGTCAATTGTTAATTTGTTTTCAGTGATAACATGTTATCATTCGTCGGATACAAGTTTTTTAAACACACAGTTACTTTACATGCATATGTCTCATACGTGGAATGCAAAGTTGGTTAGTCTAACAGCAAACTGTTTGAAAATACATGGTTCCTAGAAATTACCGATTATATTCACATGACGAGTCTCTGTTGCTGGGTTTTATTATTTTGAAATATACAAACACATTGATTATTCGCTGGCTTGTATTTAATTCAGTTATTTGATATGTTGAGTCTGCTAAATTAAATCTATGTAAACACGTAAAATAATAATAGAACTAATTATTTCATCGGTAAATCCGAGATAATATAACCCAATGAATATGTTCACAATAACTAGGAACTTCCTACTCATACGTTACCTGTCATTATCACCAATCACATGTATGTTCAACATGCCTGCAGATACTATAAACTGTTCTTTTTCAATATATTTAACATTGTAATCCTCATTGCATGTGTGAGTGTTCGATTTGTTAAAGTCAAGTAAAACAAATTTCATTCAACTGAATGAGTCACTGAATGAATCTAACATTCATTAACTTCGATGGCATCTAAGATTGTCTGGCTTGAATGAGATTGAGTGTGGTGAAAATGTTAAATATACCCGACCAAGAGGGTAACTGCTTGATGACAACATTAGGTTCGGTTTAAAAACAAATACATATTGAATAATCTAATGAAGAATTTTCTCATTAAAGGGGTGAAGTTTATTGTTTGTAGAGCGTTTACACAGTTTATAGTCAATCAACAAGAATGATCAAGCATAACCAAGATAGGCGTATGCGATAGCGAACAAAGTGGTTAATCGTGACGTTCTTACATCAACATGCGCATATAAATTAATTATACTGCGTATTAATTGCTCCCCTGAAAAAAGTAGGGCAACATCACTATAATTCGTGTTGCCATGTGAAAACAGAATATCACTATACCATAACATTCACCACACCCCGTCTCATGAGGCGTATACACAAGCGACATATGTACACTATTCACTAATTCCATCTGCGTTTGAAATGAATAACATCAATAATAAAAGAACAATAATAGAGGAGTACATTGTATAAGCAGTGATAATCTTCGCATCTCCGATAACAATAGCCACTGCTTCAGCTTACAAAACCTTTTTAATATTTGCACATTTGATTGCATGAATTATTCATTTTTATTTAAATTTTATTTACACAAATAAATACAGCGCAAAAAATGTAATTATCATTAACATTACCAGTTTAAGGGTTCAGAAAACTTGAAATGTATTCCTTCCTTCCACTCAAGATAAACGGTGCGTATTCAAGATTTGACCAAGGAAGGCTACTGTATAGAACACACATACTAATGACTAAATTAAATTGCATCGCTAAGTTGATAACATATGACCTGCCTGCATAAAACCCATGCTGTTTAGATTAAACTACAACATGGCTAAAAAACGCATTCAAATTTAATAGAGTGGCTAACGATGAGAGCTAGTTGACCAGATAGTTTAACTGCAAAGAAAACAATTTGGCAACTATTTCCGATCGTCTCACATGTGTTCAAGCAAAGTAATTGCTTTCTGACGTTTTTTTCTATGTCGATATTTTAACGGAGTGATCTTAACAAGTGAATCAAAATTGGATGCTCTGAAGGTAATACCTTTCTCAAATCAGGATTGGTATAAATAATAATTTAATTGTAGATAGGAAGGTTTATATGTTATATTAAAGCAAATATTATTAGCTAAACCAACTGGAGAGAACAATCCCAGAAAATTTGGTCATTTATTATGAGCCCAGTCTATAGATGGTAAGTTGAAGTCGCTAATTAGAGTGACATCCTTATCTACTTCAAACACTTTGGTGATTGCTCGAACATAGGCAGAGAATTCACATCTGGTAGTATAGAAATATACGTGTATTTTTTCCGGTTTAGGATTGGGTTCAATCAGTAAAATCACTTTGCATCATTGTCACGGCCCTATGCTAGGAAACACCGTATGTTACCTCCTAACGCCGGGAAATGACAAGGATCCACAAACTAGATTAAATCACTATCAAAACATAAATGTATTTGTTCTGTGCGCACAAGGTATCACTGGATTGTACAGCATATGAACATTTCTTACAATGAATTACTATATATTCAATATTGGTGAAATACAATACATACCTCAAATATCGAAAACAACGACATATGTGACTAGACTATAAAATCAAGTATAAATACAAATATGATGGGCGCACACATTAACCCACAGAATCAGAAATGTAATGTATAATGTATAATATAATTCGTTACAGACTAAGGCTAAGCATTCCGAACATTCACGAATACACCAGACTTCGGCTGGGTTTTACAGCCACGAACTCCAATTCGGTTACTTTAACAGTGGCTCCCAGAAACACCACCAAACCACATTAATTACTATATAAATTACACTATCATAACGCAAATATTCAATACTATATTTTAGCAGTGGCTCTAGAAACGCCACCAAACCGCATTAATTACTATATAAATTACAATCGATTGTGGCCCAATACGTTAACACAATCGTATCATAACAACCTCCTAACTCGATAGCAATACTATATAATTAATCGGAATGCTTGCTCCTTAAAACAGTTGATAAATATGCTGTCATACAAGTACAAATTTGATATAAATACAAATATGTACGCAAACAATTTAGTTCAGTTCGGGAAAATGATCAGTTCCTTAAGAAATACCTTTGGCCATGGTAAAGTAGCAATGTACAATAACGCTGGAATGGGGCGTATATTCACGTACTTGATACGATAACGTTTTAGCTGTTGGGCTGAAGTAGTCAGTCGACGGTCACGCACTTGAAGTAATTCTGAACTCAGCAGGGAACGGCATAGCATGAGGCGTCTCTCTTGCATAATGTGTTCATTTTCGAAAACACTATAGCACAACACTTGCTCTATCAGTCTTTGTCTATGACATAGCTGATAACAGAGACAAGGGCCATGTCATTGTTGCAGTATCTATAGACCTTCAAATAGCATTTGATACCATAAAAACATACCATCCTCCTCCATAGTCTACAACACTATGCTATGAGAGGATAGCTTTTAATATTCTTTAAACAACGACACAGTAATCGCCTGAAATCGGTTACTATTGGTAACAATACTGTCACGAGGTCATTCTTTCGTTGTCTTTCTTGTATATATCTATAGTGGTACACAGCGCAGTCACGTATATTTGCATAACAATGATGGTGCTATCACAGTGCAGAAGGGTGGACCACCCCGTATTTATAATAGATGCGCCATTATCCAAAGTGTGGCTTGTAGCAAATCATGATTGCCTGAATTTAACAATGTGATTCTGTACATCTGGTGTATGGAGGTTAAAAAAAGCAGTCACACAATGTGCTTCCTTTTTCCCCGTTCCATTTTGGTTTGCACAAGTGAGGCAGGGTTCTGTGCTTTCGTTTCAATTCCTGTTGGGTTTCCTGAGTTTATTTGAACATTGCTTTATAAACTGTTCCTGTTCCTGTTCTTGGATGTAAAGTGGGCCTGCTGCGTGCTGTGGAAACTGACATTCTATGACTCTTCACAAGTGCTACACCGGAGATGTCAAGTCAACAGAAAACAATGTTCCGTGAAGTCGGACATTGTGTCGGAACTCCGCCGTACCCTGTTATCTGCAACAAAAATGACAATTTCGTCGTGCTGTGGGTAGAAGTCAGAAGATTTGCGTAAACACAGATGATCCAGCGCTGTGAAGTTCGGGAACTGTGAATGCACTGGAGAAGTTACTCAATTTATATTATTGTCCTGCGTAGTGCAGGAGAAATTATGTTCTGTGTCGCGACCATACCGTTTCTATTCGACAGTGTACTTTAGTGACTTGCGAGTCGCATGTCAGACTGCTTGGCCCTTCCACACGTGACAAATACTAACAATATATTGGTAACGATACAAATACATTTCAATTCGTCAAACATGATTTTATTAATCTCTCCAACATTACTAATTACCTAAACAGATTATGTGAATGTTGCAGTGCAAACAAGCTGCCATTAATATTAAAAAAAATAACATGATACTAAAAACCTCACCGAAGTATGGGAACATTGAGTGCGGATTGAGTATCAACGGGACTTTTATTGAGGGCGTTTCGTCATCTAGACAGGTGTCAATTGATCAAAACTTAAATTAAAAAACTCGTGTTAAAGACATTGTAAAAATCATTACCCCTATAGCTAGAATAATTTCCTGTATAATCCATTATGTTTCAAGATCTATACTTTTACTTTTATACATTAAATTCTTTAATTTTACTCCATTTAACAAATTGTCTAGAAGTATGGAGAAATGCCCATATCACAACTTACTCAATTAATAACTTTCTAAGATTTCAAATCTTACACCGCACCTCTGTTTCTCAAACTTAATATACTTAATTTATTCAAATTTCGCAAATCTCGAATTGTCTTTATTTTTGATTTAAAGCATTATTTTACACCATTACCTCACAACTTGTCAACTCCAAGCCAATCTTTCATTCAACATAAATTGAAATTCATTACCAAATAAAATCAAAACATTGAAAAATAGACGTATATTTAAAACCGAATTAAAACAATATATTTTAACTAAATGATAGTCTACGAGTTACACATTATGTTAGTAAAGTAATCCCTATATATCTTGAAATTATTTACAATTTATTGCAAAAAGTATCATCGTTAGTTATTACAACTTGCATCTTCATTACTTTTCAATTGTAATCAAGCTTATGACTCTTTATTACATGTTTTTACTGAATACATCGCATTAGAATTGGGGCGCA